CAGCCTGGGTGGGCAACATAGCAAGAACTCATCTCTACAAAAAAAACCCCAAAAAACAAAAAAACTAGAATTAGCTTGGTGTTGTGAGAGAGGTAGAATTGCCTGAGCCCAGCCTGGGTGACAGAGTGAGACAAAGGCTCAAAGAAAAAAAAAAAATACCCTTTTGAGGGGAAAGCTCTCTAAAGTTTCTGTAAGAATAAGAGAAGATACATCTATAGATTTCACCCAAAATATAATAGAAAAGGCCTTTAAAAGAAACATAATTCCTACCCAGATAAGTTCAAAAACCCCTTCAAGAGAAATAAAGGACAGGAAGATTTGTGATGAGTTTGTGATACCGGTGCCATATACTTTATTTTTTAAATGATAGTTGTGACCTTCAGATCGGCCTGTTGTAAGTTTTATTTCTTATAAGGATCATGGATTTTTTTTGCAGTGGTTAATCCAGCCCATGTTCTTCCACAAAGCTTAACTGGGCTCACCCATGTAAAACATCTGGTTGTTTGAGAGGTGCAGTCTGCAGCTCAGGAAGACTCAATGATTTACCTGGGAATCCATGCACAAATGCCTGTTGGACAAATGAACACAGAAACATATTTGCAATGGTCTCAGCTTTCTCTGTGAATAATTCCTACCCCTTTAAAGTGGGGAGTGGTGGGGATGGAGTGACAGACCAGGGCATGCAGGAGGCAGATAGTGATCTGAGGAAGTGTGCCAGGAGGCAATCAAGAATGCTTTCATCACCATTCTGCACAGTGGATCACTAACGCTCACTAAAATTTTGTACCCATTGTTCAACATCCCCCCTTTTCCAACCATCCTCTTTCCCCAGACTCTGGCAGACATCCTATGAGTTCAACTTCTTTAAATTCTGCATATAAGTGAAATCATGCAGTATTCATCTTTTTGTGCCTGGCTTATTTCACTTAATGTCCTTCATGGTGTTGCAAATGACGGAATGTCTTCCTTTTGGGGGGCTGAACAGTCTCCCATTGTGTCCATATAGAACCTTTTCTTTACCCATTCACCTGTGGATGGATACCTAAGTTGCTTCTACATCTTGGCTGTTGTGAAGAGTCCTGCAGTAAACACAGGAGCGTAGATCTCTCTTCAGCATGCTGATTCCTATTCTTTTGGGTACCTACTCAGTAGTGGGATTGTTGGATTATATGGTAATTTTATTTTTAGTTTTCTGAGGAACCTCCATACTATTTTCCATAATGGCTGTATTAATTTACATTACCAACAATGCACAAGTGTTTCTTTTTCTCCATACCCTCACCAACACTTGTAATCTTTCTTTTCTTTTTCATAGAGTCATTCTAACAGTTATATCTACAGAACAGTGACCACAATAAACAATGCACTGGATGTTTCAAAATTTCTAGAAAAGTATATTTTAAATGATTTCACCATAAAAATGGTAATTATGTGAGGTGATGAACTTGTTAGCCTTATTTAATCATTCTACATTTGTAAACTTATAACAAACCATCACATTGTACACCATACATTTATATAGCTGGTCAAGGATGCATGCACCTATAATCCCAGTTACTCAAGAGACTGAGGTAGGAGGATTGCTTGAGGCCAGGAGTGTGAAATTATAGTGCACTATGATTATGCCTGTGATTAGCTGGGTAAAATAGCAAGATCCTGTCTCTAAAATTATTTTTTAAAAAGTCTTTAAAAACTATATAATTATTACTAAAATATACAATTAAAAATAAAATTTTAGTAGAGTGAAAGACAAACAGATTGAAAAAGTGAGTAACCATCACCTTGGTTTCTGGCAGCTTGCCAGGTAGCTTTTGCTTACCTCTGATCTTTCTTAAAAGCCATGTGGGATGTGTCACAACAAAAGTGTCTTTCTCACAGCACTCTCTACACCATGGAAATGTTTTTCTAACCAAAGGATACATTTGGTTGAAAGAGCTCTACAAAATTAGTACTAAGAAGGATATTAGGTAGCACTTGAGACGGAGGCTGGCATCCAGAAAGGTTAAGTGACTTACCTAAGGTTACATGGCTAGCAGCAATGTCTAGACTAGGACCAGGCATCAATTAGAATCTCTTAAGACAAAATCTGCCTATCATTGTGCTGGCCTAACATGCTTTTAAAAAGACAAGGTTCCCTATTCTTCAGGACTATAACTTTATCACTACGCCTTTCCCTAGAATCAGAAAATCTAGGTAGATGACTGAGTATATGTTGCTTTAAGATCATTCATTAATTAAATATAAATAGTGACCACACATCAGATTTGAAAAGGAATTTCTATCTCTGATACAGCTTACTACAGGTATAAAAATTTAGTAATGTTATCCATGTTTATAGTATGTTGCTGGAAATTGAATCATAAAAACACAGACATAATTATCTCATACATAAATGATGGTACATAGGAAGTCTCATTGCAGAAATATACAATCTACACTGAAACATCAGGTATTTTAAGTTACAAAGACTGATTTATTTCAAAGAATGAGGAAATTGAATTACTACTACACCCAATAACAGTCAAACATCTGTGCCTGTAAAATCTTTTCTTTAGTATTTGTAAGAACTAAATGAGAAAAACATATAACTAACCAAGGTTAAAAAAAGAAACTTGCTGTATAAGCAGCTACAAATAGTGCTCTCCATGGTGAAAAATGAAGTCCACACATAAGTATCCTAGCAAAAATTTCACACACACACACACACACACACACACACACACACACACTTAACAGATTGATTCTAAAAAACAGCTAAGCATTCCACAATCTAAATGCTCCGAAATTAATAATAAAGATTATTAACATTCTGTATGTGTGATATTGTATACATGAGAATGACAGCAGCAATACTTTTGGGCAGAAGACCCCTCAGAAGACCCATCACTGCTATTGCCTTTCATCTCACTCAACCTGCTTTTCTCAAACATGTGCACAACCCTTTTACCTCTCCCTACTCTGCAACCAAATCACAACCACACAAAACCAAGGTGTCTGCTGCAGCCCAAAACATTTGACTGATAATATCCGGTTTGCCATTCCAGGAAATCCCAGAGTGGTTTTTAAGCCTCTGCCCACAGCTTGTAAAGAAAGGCGAGAGATGAACTAATCGATACCAGCACCCCAGCTGTGACCCGGCACATAAAGAAATCAAGAAAATAAATCCCATCCATAATCTGTATAATTTAACACTTGGAAGAAAGCAACATCTGGGATCGACTCCAAGCGGGACAGTGTTGCCTGGATGAGTCTGTGCTTCCTGCATTGAATATTAAAGCCGGTTAGGAGGCGATGCCCTCTGGTTCCTCACCAGTTCAGCAATAGCAACGTCTTTTTCCTAGCAAGGGTTAATCTGCCCCTCAAAAACAGGACAATGAGAAGGAAAATAACAACCACTAATATTTACTCCTTGCCAGTAGAGCACTAGGCAAAGGCTCCTCTTATACTCTGAAACCTTTTTCAAAGGTGGGTCCAGACAAACTTGTTTTGCTAATCAGTCACAGTCCAGAATAGAAGCCAATGTAAAATATGGGAATGACTTTGTTTAATCATACATCTCTTTCAGTATACTCCAAAGTCCTATCCCCAGGCAAAGTTGAAAAAAAAAAAAAGGCAATCCCCCATGACTGTGACTCCCTAGAAAGGCTTTCCAGATTTTTTAAATTGCAGGAAAATGAATTTAGAGCATAAGCAGATATCTACACATCATCTAAATCACTAGATCTGTCCCCAATTTTTTTTTTTAAAGTACACCAGTGGGCAGGACAGGACGTTATAGGAAATAAAAGAGTGGTAAAATCCACAATGCTTTCTCTCTGCTAGACCTTCTGGGGGGTTATAATTGCATTTGGCCGCTGCAGGCTTGTCAGAGTGCCTGGCTTCTTAATAGTCTCAACCCTTAAAGGAGTAACTGTCAAGGGGCGACCCAGCTGAAATCAAACAACAAAAACGGGAACTGTAACCCGCCTGAAATGGGAGGAGGAAAGGAAGGGAGCCTCCTGTATTCATCAGTCAACATTAATGTCCTTTGTTGTTCACCTTTGCACGCAACAGCGAGCGCTATCCTGTTCCTTTTTCTCCGAACGCTGGTGCCAGGGTAGTCTTTTCCTAAAAGCCATCTCCCTGCCTGGAAGACCCAGGCTTACCCATCCACCTCCCCGCGATCACTCCGCAGCCGTCTCCACCACCCCCCATGCGCTCACCCCGGGTCGAGAGTGGCCAGAAGTAAAAACACTGCCGAAATAGCCGTTCCCCTCCAAAGACCAAAGAGCGGAGCTGCGCAGATGTTGAAATTTACCCATACCCCTGCCCCACCACACACACACACAGACACACAGACACACACACACACACACACACACACACTGTAAAGCCGGGATGGGAGGGCGGGAGGAGGGTCGGCGGGAGGAGGGTCGGATCGGAGGGTCGGATCGGGCTCCCTCTGTCCGAGTGGCTCTCGAGGACCACGGCGCTCTCTGGGCATGTTGACCCGAGCTGGAGGAAGGTTCTGCACCTTCCTCCTGTTTCGGGGGGTCCTCCCTGCCCGGTTGTCGTTGGCTCCCTCTCCACCCTGGGAAATCGCTGCAGCTGCCTGCCGTGTCCCCGTTGCTGCGGTGAAGGGGAAGGAGAGCGAGGGACCTCACTCGCCTCTTCTTCCAACTTGACACACACACACACACACGCCCCGTCGCGGCTCCAAAACACACACACACACACGCACACACGCACACACACGCCCCGTCGCGGCTCCAAA